TTCCTGTTCTGGAATTCTGATTACACGTTAAGTTATTCCATTTGATGGTATCCCACATGAACCTTAGGCTTTCTTCATTTTGTTTTGATCCTTTTTCTGATTGATCCCTTTCCAAAGAAGTATTCAGGTATTTGTCTTCAATCTCATTCATTCTTTCATCCATTGCATCAGTTCTGCTCCTTTGCCCTTTCAATGTGTTATCCATTTCTGACAACTTAGTATTAATATTCTGGATTTCTATTTGTAGATTTTGAATCATTTCTAATTTTTCATTTATTTTGTCATTTTGTTCTTGTATTTTTTCCCGAAATTCTTCTAGGGTTTTGTCTGTGTTTTCCTTGATCTCTTAGTCCTTTGAAGATCCCTAATTATAATTCTTTTGAATTCCTTATCAGGGAATTCCAATGCTGCATCTTCCTCAGGGATGTGTTTTGGGTCTGTATCCTTGTCCCTTGTTTCTCCTGCTTTGTCTTGCTTCTTTGTGTGGACTGTGATGCTCTGTTGTCTCCGAGGCATTGTGACGTTTTTGTCAGTCTTTATGGAAGCAGACTGCCACATCTTTCTCCCACCGAGCAGCTGGTGACTTTAAACCACTGACCTTTTGGTTAGCAGCCAAGTGTTTTAACCACTTTGCCTCCAGGGCTTCTTGTAGGTGGCAGGTATTGTTTAAAAATATCAAAGTTGTGGGGGCCTTAGGGATTTCCTGCTCAATCCCTTTGTTTTATAGAAGGAGATGCAAGATTAGTAACTGGTAGAGCCCGGGGCAAGAAGCCCAGGCCGCGCCCGGGACCTTCGGATTAATGCAGAGTCACATCTTAAACCTTGTAATGAGGTTTGATGCCAGCTGGTATGTCTGAGTTGGCTGGCCGGAAGAAGCAGCACACACCCTCCCCGCCATGAAACCAGTGCAATGTGTCATAGGGCAGAGATTACGATCTGGGGAAGAGGTGACAGAAGGACAGAGATGGAGTCACTTAACTCTTGGACACAAAACTCTAGCAGAAGAAACCCCCAGGCAGAAAGGCAGGGGCTCCCGGAAGGAACATCTCCCCTGGAGGTGGTGGCTGGCATCATCAGGCTTTCTTGCCTGTAGCAGGAGGAAGTAGATTCTTGGGACCCAAAGAACTAGTGTCAAGTGTCCAGGAGGAGTCTTGGCTTCTGGAACACAGGGTTTGGTCCTGTCCAGATGAGCGGTCGCACCTCCTGGGTAGCCCGTCACTGTCCCCTCTGAGCCAAACACCGGCTGCCTGGGGTGGCCTTGCTCCCTGCCGACCTGCCTGGGGTGGCCAGGGTGGCGTGAGCAGCTGGTGTTTACTCAGAGATCAGAGAGACAGCCCAGCTTCCCCTCTTCCCTTCCCCATTCTTCCTCCCATGCCATCCCCTCCCCTAGACACACCACTCCCTAAAACAGGTCTGTCCTGAGAGCTGTGAAGAGACTGAGGGCTCACGAGGGGCCAGACTCCTGTGTACCTGGGAAGGCTCTGAGTGACCAATCAATGGCTCGCTCGTCATATCCAAAGAACTTAATATGAAAATGAATTTTATTTCTATGTAAAAAGCCAGATGCTATCAAGACTATGAAAAATGGCCAGAGGCCGTGAAGGACAGAAAGAAAACTCTTTTTGGCCTGTTCCCTGTGACCCCGTGCAGTGCTGTTGGGGGCTGGGGCCCCAGTAGGAGAGCTGGCTAGTTGTGAGGTGTGCAAAGGAGGCCGACCTCCCAGCACCCCCTGAAGGGCCCAGCTCTTGGCTCCTCAGAGCCCGGCTGGGCTGGGTACTGAGGTACTGTCTGCCTTTGGGGTCCCCAGGAATGAAGTGGCATGGGGCATGAGGCAGACAGGATTGGGGGTGGGGAGGGAGGCAAGAGCCTTCCTACACTGGAAAAGGATGTTTAGGGCAGGAGTTGAAGCTAGGGTGCTGTTGCCCCCAAAGGCACCTTCAGGCTCTCTACCACATCCCTATCATAAGGAAAGTCTTGAGCCCTTGGAGAGGTGGATGTGAGTCTGAGACGTAAGGCTATCAGAGGTGAGGCTATGGTGGCAGGGGCCTGGGCCCCTAGGGGGAGCTAAGAGGAGCTTGTATGGGCTGATGGGAGTGAGGAATGCTTGTCCAGGAGCGGTCGTCTCTGTTTACTGTCTGGGGGGGTGAGAGCGTGGGGGGTGCTCAGGCCTCGCCCTCCTCTCCGCTGCCATCCACACTGGCCTGCCTCACCACCTTCCGGATTCTGGGGGTGGAGGCACAGCCAGCCACTTCCTGGTCCTGCTCCTGGAAAGCTTGGGTCCTGCTGGCCACCAGGGCGGCACTGTGGAGGGCAACCACAGACTGGCGGGACTTCAGGGCAGGCCACGGCCCCTTCTGGACCCCCTTGGCCCTCGAGGGCTGCGGGAAGGGCTGCAGAGGCTCTTCATCTGAGGGAAAAACCTGGATGCCAAGAGGACAGGGAAGCATCACGGGGACATGTCCTCTTTCTCGTTTTCCCTGAAGAGCGCACACACAGCTGGGCAGAGGGCAGGTGCAAAAAGTTTGTTGAATGAATGCCAGGAAACTAAGCTACTCCTGGGTCCCGCGTCCCTAGGAGGGAAGGCAGCACCCAGCCCTGCTGGTCCTGCCCCTCACCTGCCTGTCACTTCCTGCTGGCCCCCAGCCCGTGTCTCAGCTCTCCCTGTACCTGCCGTGGCCTTGAGCCAGGGGCCTCCCTGGCCCTCCCCGCCTTTGTACTTGGTCCAGTGGACCACACATGAAGTGCCTTCGTGTGCGGGGCCCTCAGCTGGGCTGTGTCTATGGCTGTCTGGGTGCTAAGTGCAGACACCCTGCCTTTGGGAGCGTCCACACCCTCCATCCAGCCGTCCATCCCCCCTCTTCTTCCACACCCAGCGCCCTCTCCTTCAGGAAGCCTCCTCCAATCTTCCTGTCCTTCTCACGCTCCCCACTCCTCCCTCTGAGTCACCCCTCTTGGCTGCTAGTCACAGGTCAGGCAGGCTTCCTAAGACAGGTGTTGGTTTCTCAGGTCTTACACTGGCCCCTGTGGCTCTCAGTATGAAGAAGCCGCCTGGCTGAAATCTGCCCTGGCTGGCTCCGCTGAGAAGCCCCTCAGAACTGGCACCCCTCTTCCCTGGCCCTGGCTGCCCTTCCGCTCTGAGTCAGCGAGACCCTGGTCTCCTGATCTCCTCAGCTGCTCTGTGTACAGGATTGCCCCTCCCTCACCTGGGAGACACACACACACACACACGCACGCACGCACGCACGCACACACGCATGCACGCACACACGAGAGGCCAGTGCTGTGAGGTGTGGGCGGCTGGGGCAGGGGCCCAGCGTGGAGCCCCGCCCCGGCCTTTCTCCGTCCTGCCGGCCACCTTCCTTCTGCCCCACCTCCAGCCTGCCCGCCTCAGACGGGGCTCCTTGCCCAGCCTCACCTCTGGCAGGTCACCAGCCTCTGAGGTGCTTTCCAGCTCCGAGGAAGACTCCAGAAGACTGATGGACCTCATGACCCCACGAAGGTTGATGCGGGGCCGGGGCCCAGGCTCTTCTTCTGGGGCCACCTGGCTCTCCTGCAGCCCCACAGCCTTCACCTCCCCACCGCCCCCGGGTTCTGGCGGAAGAGCTGGGGACGGCGCAGAGACTTCTGGGGCCAGGGGCTCCTCTAAGGAGACCCCACCCACTTTCTGCTCCCAGACCTGGCTCTGCCGGCTGTGGGGGGTAGCCCTGAGTCAGCTTGGGTGACCCAAGGGCCACCCCCCAGCATGTGCCCACACCTTCTCTCCTGGTCTCCCCACCCCGCACCTGGCGGTCAGGATGCCCTGGTAAGTTTGCAGCTGGCGAAGGAAGCCAGGGTTGGGCCGGGCGATGGGCCGGAGCTCCTCCACATGCCGCAGCGCCTGCTCCAGGCCCCAGCCGTACTGCTTCATGGCGTAGGCCATCACCGTGGCGGCCGAGCGGCTGACGCCCATCTTGCAGTGGACTAGCACCCGGGTGCCCTGGGCTCTGTGGGAACGGGAGGCACTTGCCTCAGGCCACCCCGCCCTGGCTGTGTCAGGGCAGAGCTGACGGTGGAGTGGGCAGGAGGAGGGTGCAGGACCACCCGCAGCCAGGGCGGGGTGGGTGTCTGGAGCGGCGGCCCGACCTGGCGGCCTCGATGAAGCAGTGTGTCTCCTTCCAGTGGGGCAGCAGCTGGGCCGACTCCTCGTCCCAGAGACGCACATTGTGGTAGGTGAAACGCTCCGGGAAGAAGTTGTCGATCTCCCGGGCCATGTTCAGGATGTGGCTCACCCTGTAGCACAGGGACCGGGGCCAGGCTGATGTGGGCAGGGTCCCCAGGTCCAGTGGCCAGGACCTGGCAGCCCCTGGGCCTTTCTGTTTAGTTCTCAGTTAAGAGAGTCGAGTGGAGGTCGTGCAGATAGACAATAGATGGGGGCAAAGCTGGCTGTCAGGTGACCCTACCATCACGTCAGTGCCAACTCACAGCAACCCCCAGTGTGTTTCTAAGGCTGTAAATCTTTACAGAACGAGACCGCCCCATCTTCATTTCATGGATCAACTGGTGAGCTTGAACTGATGACCCACTGGTTAGCAGCTGAACACCTTAGCCACTACTCTACCAGAGCTCCAGCTGACTGCCTTGTCATGAACAAACCCTTTTACTCACTGAGCTGTTTCCCACCTAGCCCACTGCACCTTCTGTTTGTCTCTGAAATTTACTAGAGAACAGTATTTGAGCTGGGTCTGCAAGAGCCGGGTGCGAGGCCATTTGGTTTCTCAGAAGCCTGTGGTGACAGGTGCCTCTCAGGACAGGCAGCTGGGTCCCCACCAGGAGGGGGCGATGTGGGCTGCAGTCCCTCAGCTCCGCACAGCGGAGGCCATTTCCTTTGCTCTTGGTGTCCATAGCCCCTGTGCCTGTGCAGGCTACAGCCCCAGGCCGAGACAGGGCCAGGCGACCCCCCGGGGGGAGTGCCGAGGGGCGATCCTGAGGGGCTCCTGTGTTACCTGTTCCTCTGCAGCTCCTCCAAGTTGGCCGCATTCCACTCCGAGCCCTGTGGAGAGGGAGGGATGTTCTTCCTGCCTCCAGCCCCTGCCCTGGGTGGCACCGCGCCGCTCGGCTCTCACCCGCGGCCGCTCACCAGGTAGAGGTGGGGGAAGATGCGGGAGGCCCGGTCTTGCTGGGCCATGAGCAGCAGCATCTGGTTGTCGATGAAGTCGCGGTACCGTTGCAGCGGGCAGCCCAGGCGCAGCTCCAGGGCCTGGCGGATCTGCAGCCAGAGTGGAGGTGACCAGGGCTCGGGTGGCCTGCAAGGGGCCTGACTCCCCACCCTCCCTGTGGGCTCAGCGTCCTGTCCCGTGGAGGCAGAGGAGCTGAGGCCAGGACACCTGGGATGGGTGGGGCCCCGGCCCCGGCCCCGGCCCCGGCTCACCTCCTTGGAAGTGACGCTCTCCAGGTCGCTGGTGTCCAGCACCTCCCACAGCTCTGCCCGGATGGCCTGCTCCATCTGCTCTTGCTCTAAGGGCCTGGGGACTGGGCCCGTCAGCCCAGGGCCTGCTCCAGCCTCCCACGGCCCCCACCCCTGGCCCTCCCCGCCCACACTGACCGGCCAGGCTCGGCACTGGGAGGCCGCAGAGACTGCAGGTCGGCCATAGCCATCCACTCGTTGAGGCAGCTTTGGTCCGAGCTCACTCTCTCCTGGTAGTGGGTGGCCCAGGTGAGGGCACTGCCCCCTGGCACCAGGCCACTGCCTAGGGCCGCCTCACATGCCTGGTGCAACACCTGCAGGGTGGCCCTGCGGACAGGAGGAGGGGCTGGGCCACAACACCCTCCCTGCTCCCCCTTCCCGGGCCCCCCGGCATCCTCCCAGATGAAGCTGCCCCAAAGTTGAGCCAACCTCGGGCCCACTCAGCCTTACCACATGGTCTGGATGGATATGGGCTTGAAGATCCGGCTCTGCCCGCCGGAAGTCACACTGAAGCCCCTGCGGAAGACCAGTGGTGGTTGGAAAAGCCCACGGTCGGGGGCCAGGGGTCCACCCGCCACCTCATGAGCCTGCCCTCAGAAGGACATATGTGGGGTTTGCCAGCTGTGGGGCAGCTGAGGCCCAGAGAGGTGGGCTGGCCTGCCCAGAATCACAGAACCAATCTGGCAGAGTGAGCCCCAGACGCCCAGCCCAGGGGTCTGCTGCCCCCCAGTGCCCAGCCTCCGCCACACTGGTCACGCTTGCTGATTCCACCCTCTCCTCCCTCCCGTTGCCGCCTCCTACCCATCTCCGTCCAGGTACACCTGGGTGTCGCTCCACAGGGGCAGGGCCAGGCCCAGGGTGCAGCTGAGAGAGCTGGCAGGGCACAGAGGAGAGCCGTCAGCCGCAGTATCTCAGTCTTGGCCCCTCCTTCCCTCTCCCTGTCCCCCACCTGCTGTCAGGGAAGTCCACCCCCAGGAGGAGTGTCTCGTCCTGGCTTTGGGGTTCTCTCGTGGACACTACAAGCAGGTAGCGGAGCCGGGGGGGCCGGGCTGCCTCCAGCTGGGCTGCCTGGGGGAGATGGGGAAGGAGTCACAGTGGCCCAGAGGACCACTGCCCACCCCCTCTGCCTATGCACCCCCTGCCACAGACAAGGCCATCTAATCCAGTGGTTCCCAGCCTTTGGACCTCATGGCCCCACAAAGTGTTTAAGATTGCTTCTTAAAGAGAAAAGTGTGTGGGAAAATAAGGGACAGTGGGGAATGACAAGAGATTCCCCGTTTTTGTTTTTGCCTCATAAAAAGGTTTTATAAAAACACACAAACCACCCGGCACTTGCTGTCATCATTTCATTACACAGCCATTTTATCACCAGTGAAACATTAGGACACAGTCTCCAAACGAAGAGGCTGCCCCCGAGTGAACTCAGCTTTGGCAGGCTGGCTGCATTTCAGTTCCACGTTTACTGCGCACAGTGAGATGTCTGCACAGGGGTTTGGGAGCCACAGACTAGGCCTGAACGCCCACCTGTACTCCTGTCCTTCCCTGGATGTGGGAATCTCCCTTCCCTCTGTCCCTACCCTCAGCACACCAGTGGGGGCCCAGTAAGCCCTCCCTCAGCCCTGGTCCATTTATGGACAACTCACGTGACTAAAATAGTCATCTGTTGGTTGAACACACTTCGGTCTCCGTGTCATTCCCAACGCTGGGCCAAACTTGGCCATGTGGGCTCCCAAAGAGCCAGCCTCCCCTGTCCCACCGCCCTGCAGACACCTGCAGCCAGAACCTGCCCTGTGACTCTTCTCGGGCTGAAAGGGCAGGGTCTGGGGGGGCTTCAGTAAGGCCTATGCGCCCCAGGGTGCCCCTGGCCTCATCTCCTGCTTCCGGTGTACTCTCTGTCTCTGTGCCCCCCGCCCGCCGCGTGCCTCCCCTCTGGGACCCTCACCAGGCGGATGTCATCCTGTGGCCGCAGAAGCTCCACCATGAGGTGCAGGTGCTGCCTCTGCTCCTGCTTCTGGGGACTCTGGGGTCCATGGCCCTCGTCTGCCTGGTCCCCATGGGCTTGCCCCTCACCTGGGGGTTCCTCTGCCGGCTCAGGGCTGGCCTCAGCCACATCTTCATTGTCCCCTCCGTCCTGCAGTCCCAGGACAGCCCCCCGGAGCACAGCAAAGCTCTGCCTGGCAGGGAGTGGGGGAAACCGGGCTAGCCACTGCTCCCCCAGAGCTGTGGTTTATGAACCTGCCAGAACCCCCTGGAGGTCTCATAAAACAGACTTCTGGGCCCCGCAGGCAAGGTCAGGAGGTCTGGGCTGAGGCTTGAGACTCTGCACGTCTAACCGGTTACTAGCAAGCTCTGGTAGTGTGTAATTAAGGCACTCACTCAGCTGCTAACCAAAAGGTGGGCAGTTTAAACCTACCAGCCGCTCCGAGAGAAAAAGATGTGGCCGTCAACTCCTGTAGAGCCTTGGAAACCCTACGGGGCAGTTCTCCGCCCTGCAGGGTCACTGAGACTCCGGGTGGGATGGGCTTGGTCTGGGTGACCAGCTCCCAGGGGGTGGGATGGG